TATCTAGCTGGAGGTTATTGGGGGCAGTTTTATAGACTGGCGCTAGTGTCGGGGTCATTAAACGCCAGTCAACGCTGGGATTAGAACTTTTGTCAGTTAGGGTTTAAGTGGTTTAAAGTTAGGGTAGGTATGAGGTCTGTTTTAGCAGTTAAATTTAGTGTCGTTGGGTAACTTTAACTTTAGGGTACTTGGTGAGGGGGGGGGGGGGTAGGCCTGCTTGGGTTTAAAGTTAGAGTTGAAGTAGGAAAAGTTGTGGTCTCAGTGGGTTAAGTTGAGGACCTGAGGTGGGTAGGTTTAAGGTTTTTATTTATAGGTTTAAGGTCTTTATTTGTAGGTTTAAGGTCTTTATTTGTAGGTTTAAGGTCTGTATTTGTAGGTTTAAGGTCTGTGTGGGTTTATGGTCATTATGGGTAGGTTTTTAAGTCAGCTTGGGTAGGCTTAAGGTCTGTTTTATGTTTGGGACTATGTGGAAGATGTGCTGTAAGGTTGGAGTTCTTGATTGCACACTGTCTGATAATATGTGGCTTAAATTACATTAAGATATGACATATGACCTCTCACCTAATACCCCCCCCCCCCAGTCCATTGTTTTCGCCGAGTCGCCGTGTAGACTATAGAGAACAAAGTGGCTATATTGATTTTTAATTAACCTTTTGTAAAAAATAGTTTGGCATTTAATTTCCGCGAATGTTACAGTTATTAAACCTTGACCTCTTTCTCCCCCCTCTACCTGTGTTAAGCTGGTCTCCCCCCCCCCCCCCTCACCCCCTTGTGCAGGGCGTGACAAAGATGTCGTCAGGTGTCCCCGAGAACTCGCGAGACTTGGGCCTGTCCAATAGGTAATACGGTAGGCTTACGGTGATGTCATGTAGGCAGCGCTACACCAACCTTTAGTCAACATGCCGGGTTGAATCGGCCAGAGCACTTGCCGGATATTTGTGAATGCCAAGAAATAGTTCAGGCCTGCATCAGAAGTCATACTTTGAGGCTAGCCTACAGAACGTGGTACGTATCTTTGTTTTATTCCTCTCTTTATATTATTACTTCGACAATGTTATAGTTTTATTAAATGTTTTGAAACTAAAAAAGTAAACAGAAGTGCCGCAAGCAAGCACATCACCGCCGACTCCACCGTTCGTGAAATGTGTACAAAATCGTTGACGCCAGTGTTGCAAATTAATGTCAGCTTTTTCCTGCTGTTGGCCCTCATCACCTCTGCAGTCGTGAGGGAAGCTGAAACTATTGACAATAATTATATCATGTCTGTACCTTTGTCTTTCCCCTCACACACGACAGTCCCAGTTTTTCTTCCAAACTTTTTTCTTCGGGGGGGGGGGGGGGGGGGGGGCAGAGCACCCCCGAAGAGATGCCTGGAAGAAACTCTGGTCAGTCCTTTTCTAATGTTTTGCTGTGTACTCCCCCCCCTCCCCCAACCCCCCCCCCCCCCCCCCCCCCCCTGTAACTCAGCACTTCCAATGTTGCCTCCAATATAAGAGTATTTTTTTAAATAAAAAAATAAAACAATTAAACAAGATGAAGTCGATTCAGAGCCTTTGTTTATGCTTTCAGGAGAGACAAGCATGCTCGTGACGTCATGCCCACGTCTCTTTTGCTCGTGTGTGTCGTCCTTGTGTTACGTCACTTACACGTCACAGGCTATTCGTACGATCTGGTCATTGCCTGGAACTGTAACGGCACCTACGTCACCAGCCTGTCAGCAGACGGCCCGGCACCAGACAACAGCTGCGTGGCGTGTGGTCGGGTCAGGAGCCTAGCAGACGGCCAGCTGCTGGTCAATCTGACCGGATGTGGCGTCACAGAGAAAGACACGCTCCGGGTTCCAGACGCCACAACTCGGCTGGTGCTTGACCACAACAACATCCGGCATCTGAGGGACAACTTTCTGCAGTTGGACACATTGCGCCATCTCAGCATCCAGCAGTCTAACATCCGCACTGTACAGGTGGGTAGACAGGGGGGGGGTAGGGGTCTGGGGGGTAGGGGACAGGGCTGTAGGGGACAGGGCTGTAGGGGACAGGGGTGTAGGGGACAGGGCTGTAGGGGACACGGGTGTAGGGGACACGGGTGTAGGGGACACGGGTGTAGGGGACACGGGTGTAGGGGACAAGGGTGTAGGGGACAGGGGTGTAGGGGACAGGGGGTAGGGACAGGGGGGTAAGGGACTGGGGTGTAGGGGACAGGGGGGTAGGGGACAGGTGTTTGTGTGTAGGAGACAGGGGTGTAGGGGACAGGGGGTAGGGACAGGGGGGTAGGGGACAGGGGGGTAGGGGACAGGTGTTTGTGTGTAGGAGACAGGGGTGTAGGGGACAGGGGGTAGGGACAGGGGGGTAAGGGACTGGGGTGTAGGGGACAGGGGGGTAGGGGACAGGGGTGTGTGTAGGGGACAGGGGTGTAGGGGACAGGGGGGTAAGGGACTGGGGTGTAGGGGACAGGGGGGTAGGGGACTGGGGTGTAGGGGACAGGGGGTAGGGACAGGGGGGTAAGGGACTGGGGTGTAGGGGACAGGGCTGTAGGGGACAGGGGGTAGGGACAGGGGGGTAAGGGACTGGGGTGTAGGGGACAGGGGGGTAGGGGACAGGTGTTTGTGTGTAGGAGACAGGGGTGTAGGGGACAGGGGGTAGGGACAGGGGGGTAAGGGACTGGGGTGTAGGGGACAGGGGGGTAGGGGACTGGGGTGTAGGGGACAGGGGGTGTAGGGGACAGGTGTTTGTGTGTAGGAGACAGGGGTGTAGGGGACAGGGGGTAGGGACAGGGGGGTAAGGGACTGGGGTGTAGGGGACAGGGGGGTAGGGGACTGGGGTGTAGGGGACAGGGGTGTAGGGGACACGGGTGTAGGGGACACGGGTGTAGGGGACAAGGGTGTAGGGGACAGGGGTGTAGGGGACACGGGTGTAGGGGACACGGGTGTAGGGGACACGGGTGTAGGGGACAAGGGTGTAGGGGACACGGGTGTAGGGGACACGGGTGTAGGGGACACGGGTGTAGGGGACAGGGCTGTAGGGGACAGGGCTGTAGGGGACAGGGCTGTAGGGGACACGGGTGTAGGGGACAGGGCTGTAGGGGACACGGGTGTAGGGGACAGGGCTGTAGGGGACAGGGCTGTAGGGGACAGGGCTGTAGGGGACAGGGCTGTAGGGGACAGGGCTGTAGGGGACAGGGCTGTAGGGGACAGGGCTGTAGGGGACAGGGCTGTAGGGGACAGGGCTGTAGGGGACACGGGTGTAGGGGACAGGGCTGTAGGGGACAGGGCTGTAGGGGACAGGGCTGTAGGGGACAGGGCTGTAGGGGACACGGGTGTAGGGGACAGGGCTGTAGGGGACAGGGCTGTAGGGGACAGGGCTGTAGGGGACAGGGCTGTAGGGGACAGGGCTGTAGGGGACAGGGCTGTAGGGGACAGGGCTGTAGGGGACAGGGCTGTAGGGGACAGGGCTGTAGGGGACACGGGTGTAGGGGACAGGGGTGTAGGGGGTCAGGGGTGTAGGGGGTCAGGGTAGTAGAGCACATGTTAGTAGAGGACAGCTGTAGAGGACAGCTGCATATAGATAACAGGGCTGTCAGGGATAGGCTGTTGTTTTTAGATGTACCAGCACACAGCATACTTTATCCACACCATACACTACACACACCACAAGACAAACCACCACATTAGTCATTACACACATCCTACAACTCCGCACACCCTACACACCATACACTCCAACATTTACTTACCACACACAACCGACCATACCCCTTCCCACTACATTTTCACCTCACACAACCCCAACACATCCTATCACACAGCACCCCGCACCCCACCGAACGTTACACGTATATTCTCGCTCAGGCTGACGCTTTACGGGGCTTAAAAAACTTAGAAGTCCTTGACCTTGAGGGCAACTTTATCAACGTCACGTGCACCAGTTCCCTGCCGCCTGCCGTGTTCCGCCATGTTCCCCGCCTGAAAACCTTACAGCTGACAGACAACTGGAACCAAGGGTGCTGGTCAAACGCGGCTCCCCGGGGCGCGGGTGGCGACTTGTTCCACTACCTGCCCATGCTTGAGTCCCTGGCTCTGGACGCTCCCCCGGGTGAGCTCCACCTGGGACCAGAGTTCCGCAACCTGTCGCACCTGTCGAGCCTGCGGCTGCAGTGTACCCACGTGACCAGCACCACCAACGTCAGTCTACAGTCCCTGTGGGGCCTGCCCCTACTCAACCTGACCGTCTACAACTTCGACCAGCTGGCCATTGACCCCGAGTTCGTTGACCCGGGAAAGGTCACGTTCCACAATGACACGTTCCAGAGACTGGACGCCTTGCAGAACCTGGTCATCGCTAACTGTAAGATCGGCAACCAGCAGATTGCGCGGACACTCAAACCTTTTGTCAACAAGAAGCTGACGTCATTGACGCTGATAGAAACGCACTACAAGCGAGTCTTTAATACACCTTCCATCATCTTCCAGGATGGTACCATCACCAACATCACCACCCAGTTCCTCAGGCAGATCGAGTTGTCGCACTTGGCGTGGATCAACAGCAACCTGATAGCCGTGGCCCCAGGGGCCCTCATCAGCCCCCAGTGGAAGACAAGCATCAGGACCTTGGATTTCTCCCAGAACGACCTGGGGCGGGTCGGCTGGAGAATCGCCGTTCTAGAAATTTCCAGCTTACAGAAACTCGAAGAGGTTGTCATGTCGTCTGTGGCGTCAAGCGATGATGACGTCAGACCAAAGTTGGAAGGTGTGTCAGCAGACGATGAGTATAATGATATAGCTTCCGGTGATGACGTCATTAAAACAAGTCCCCGTAACTTACCCCAGATCGTTCCAACACAGGGCAGAATGTACACCACCACACACGCCCTGCCCAGGGATGACAAGATGGGGAAAGGTATTCGCAGTGCCAGACGCCCAGTCTCAGAAAGTTCACCAGCCCTCGAGCGGTCAGCTGATCCTTCAGACAAGCTCCACCTGGTGGGGAACCTGCCAACTCCCGGCGTCAACTGGACCCTGCGTGTCCCCCCTAGTCTGCGGACCTTCAGGGTGGTCGATATCATGAACGGCGTCACCAGATACGGAAACCAAAACGCTCATTTCACACAAGCTGGCAATGTGAGACACCTGTACATCGTCAACAACTACGTCATTTCCGGAACAGGCAGAGTCCTAGGGCTTTCGGCCTTGACCTTGTTTGACCTGAGCGGGACCTTCATGGACGTGCAGCACTATTTCTTCGACGACTTCCCCGGCCTGCGCATTCTCCGGCTTAAGTCTATGCGACCGGAAAACTTCTTCAGCCGGCTGTCTTGTGACCGGCTCATCGCAAACCTGCCGTATCTGACCTACTTTGATCTCTCCAACAACCGGCTCAACCGGCTGCCGGCGGGCCTGTTCCGGAGAAATCCCATGATGACACACGTCATCTTAGCAAAGAACCGGTTCAGCTGCTTGCCCTTTGACCTAGGTAACACCCCTGACCTGGAGTACCTTGACCTCTCGGAGAACGCCGTGACCTACCTGGAGCAGGCCGAGATGGAGGCCCTGACGGCCCACTGGCAGCAGACGCCAAACTTCCGGCTCAGGCTTGGCGGGAACAACATCGCTTGCATGTGCTCGCAGATCAGATTCCTCGGTGAGTCCAATCTTGACCCTGACCCTGGGTGAGGTCAGCTTTACCTTAACCCTGAGTGCGGTAAACTTTACCCTAACCCTGAGTGAGTTCTACTTTCCTTTACTCTAACTCTCAGTGAAGTCAACTTTTCTTTACCCTAACACTGAGTGCGGTCAACTTTCCTTTACCCTACCCCTGAGTGCGGTCAACTTTCTTTTACCCTACCCCTGAGTGAGGTCAACTTTCCTTTACCCTAACCCTGAGTGATTTCAACATTTCTTTACCCTAACCCTGAGTGCGGTTACCTTTACCTTAACCCTGAGTGCGGTCAACTTTCCTTTACCCGAACCCAGAGTGAGTGACGTCAATAGTTTTAACCCAAACATTACGCAAGGCTTTGTTGATCACCCACCTTCACTCCATTAAATTTTTCAGATTTGCTTTGAGATAAAACTTCTCCCTTATGCCCTACCAAAGTTTCCACCCACTGCCCTACAATCAAACTTGTATTTCAGGCTGGCTGGAAAGAAGCCAGTTTCTGATTGGTCGAGACTTGTACACCTGCACATCGCAAGATGGCCAGCGGTTGAAGATTAGTGACGTCATTGCCGACCTGCAAGGTTTCTACAGACACTGCTACGGCAGGTAACTGCTCTGTTGTAGGAGGAATCAGAGTCAGTGGGGGAGTTATTTCGGTCTGGAATCGCTTTGGTGGGTGGGGCTACTGTTGGTGGGTGGGGATACTGCTGGGAAGGGGAGCTACTGTTGGTGGGTGGGGCTACTGTTGGTGGGTGGGGATACTGCTGGGAAGGGGAGCTACTGTTGGTGGGTGGGGCTACTGTTGGTGGGTGGGGCTACTATTGGTGGGTGGGGCTACTGTTGGTGGGTGGGGCTACTGTTGGTGGGTGGGGCTACTGTTGGTGGGTGGGGCTACTGTTGGTGGGTGGGGCTACTATTGGTGGGTGGGGCTACTGTTGGTGGGTGGGGCTACTGTTGGTGGGTGGGGCTACCATTGGTGGGTTGGGCTACTGTTGGTGGGTTGAGCTGCAGTTGGTGGTGGGGGCTACTGTTGGTGGGTGGGGCTACTGTTGGTGGGTGGGGATACTGTTGGTGGGTGGGGCTACTGTTGGTGGGTGGGGCTACTATTGGTGGGTTGGGCTACTGTTGGTGGGTTGAGCTGCAGTTGGTGGTGGGGGCTACTGTTGGTGGTGGGGGCTACTGTTGGTGGGTGGGGCTACCATTGGTGGGTTGGGCTTCTGTTGGTGGGTTGGGCTACTGTTGGTGGGTTGGGCTACTGTTGGTGGGTGGGGCTACCATTGGTGGGTTGGGCTTCTGTTGGTGGGTTGAGCTGCAGTTGGTGGGTTGGGCTACTGTTGGTGGGTGGGGCTACTGTTGGTGGGTGGGGCTACTGTTGGTGGGTGGGGATACTGTTGGTGGGTGGGGCTACTGTTGGTGGGTGGGGATACTGTTGGTGGGTGGGGATACTGTTGGTGGGTGGGGCTACTGTTGGTGGGTGGGGCTACTGTTGGTGGGTGGGGATACTGTTGGTGGGTGGGGCTACTGTTGGTGGGTGGGGCTACTGTTGGTGGGTGGGGCTGCTGTTGGTGGGTGGGGCTACTGTTGCTGGAGCTGCTTTTGGAGGGTGGAGTCACAAAAGAGTCCTCATAAACCAGCCCACTCTATCTCCAGCATGTACTTCATGTCGTCACTGGTCCTGCTGTCCCTGCACCTGTTTACCTTCCTGTCGGCTGTCCTGGTCCTCAGGTTCAGGACTCGTCTGCTGGCTTTCATCTGTCGTCTGCTCTTCCCGGCACGGGTCCTGTCTGCAGACGACTACAAGTACGATGTCTTTCTCGGCTACGCTGATGACGACTTCCTGTTCGTCCATCACCAGTTGAGTGGGTGAGTCAAGGGCGTTAGCCTGATGTGGTAGGGTTAGCGTTGGGGGTGGTACTCAAAAGACTGGGAATAGTGGGGTGGGGCAACTCAAAAGTATACGATATTTTCTAAACAGACTTTTTTTTTAAAATCACGTGATCAGTTTCCTGGAGGACAGTTTAAAGGTCAGGACTTTCATCCACCAACGTGACCTTGGCCCCGGCTACACGGACCAGCAGTTTTTCAAGGCCATCCGCAACAGCTGGAGGGTCATGCTGGTGATCACAGACACCTTCCTGCACAGGTACCAGCTGTGTGACGTCGTCATCAAGGTCAGTTCCACACTTCTACACTGTGTGTGTACGTGGGTGAGTGTGAGCTTGCGCATGCGTGTGTATGTATGTGTGTATGCGTGTGTGTGCATGTGTGTGCATGCTTATGAAAGTCAACGGTCTCAATGACTCGACATGTAAATGTTTTGTAGAGAGAAATGAGGTCATTTAATTTATCCTTGGTCTCACCAGTTCGCCAGTCACTCAGTGACGTCACTCAACCCTCGCCGCGTGCTCGTGCTTGTGGAGGAGTCTCAGTACCAGAACATTCCAGACTACTTGTATGACGTCATTGACGAGACGAGGATCGTAGTGGTCAAAGACTTGCAGAGGACGCTGGACTATGGGCAGCAGCAAAAGATCAGAGACTGTATTTTCTCTTAGTCTACGTTTGCTGGTCTAAATGTAACAAGTCTGGTCTCAGAGGTCAACCTTTAGTCAGATGACCTTTGTACCTACTGACCCCTGCATATGTCGTGAACTCACTTGTTGGGAGCAGTTGTCTTGAGCCCATTTGACGGGAGCCCTTTTGTCGGGAGCCAATATCTAGTGAGCCCTTTTGACTGGCGCCCATCAGTCGGAAGGCCCTATGTCATGAGCTCATTTGTGGAGAGCCAATATGTCGGGACCCTAAATGTTGGGAACCCATGTGTCGGGCCCCCGTTATGTCGGGAACACATTAGATGGGAGCCAATATGTCGGGACTTTTTATTGGGACTATTTCGACTGGGTCATTGTGTGTGTGTGTCGGGGGGGGGGGGGAGATGGGGGGGGTTGGGTATGTCAGGCTAGTTTGAGTAAGCAGTCATATGTTCTACATTCCGACCCACTAGGTCCCATTCTCTAAAGAACAGAACATCACACCTTAAACTCGGGACTGCCAATGTTTTAAATCACAAAGGCATCAATTTATTAATCAGGCCTAGCTTGTAATTTATTTTGTACCATCAATGTATTAGGTCAATACGCAGGGGGATGGGACACTAGCACCGTCAACTTTATGTGTTGGGGGTGTGTCCATGTGACCTTCAACGTCACCAAACATGATGTTTTAACAAAACCTAAACTGCATAAACAATGCAAAAATGTATACGGCACTGCTCGTGGTTATTTTTTCAACCCAACGGAACGGGAGTTTTATATCACGGCAACTATGTTGATGACTAAAAGTATATGTGGAATTGAGAGGTGGGTCTATATTTAACAGAATCATATATGGGACATGACTTAACACAAGGATTTAAAGCTGTATGTGACCGAAACTTTACGTTTAACTTTTTGTGTTTTTCATTAAAGTACATGTAGAATAATGTATTAATTTTTTTGTTAATTCGGATCTAAAAATAAATAAAGTACAATAAAAACACTGCTCATAGGTTTATTCTTTTCATACATTATTTTCAACAAATAATCAATTTTACTTTTATAATTTACATCCATTAATAATCATATTATATTTTAGAAAAATTAATAAATATCTGATTTTAAGCATTCTACACTTTAAAAATATGTTATTGAATTGGATGAAAGGTTAAGAAAAATTCTGTTAAATTTTCTTGAACGTCCACATCCTGTGTGGGGTTTAGGGTGTGAGAGTTCTTCAAAACTGGACGCATGTGGACACAAGGTAGGAGTCTAATTACAACATTGTATGGGTGTCATAAATGGATGACCTCTAAGAGGAAGGGTGTGTGAAGTGCATGGATTTGTTGCTAGTTAGACTCAATGTACATCCTGTACGGTAAAAGTTATTCACGTTTTCTGGTTTTCTATCTAAAAAGTTAGAATATTTTCTAATTTCTTTTTACTTTTGAACATCGAACACGTGGATACAAATTATATTCTGAAGCGTCGTCTACATATTTCTACTTTCGTCTGTCGATTGCCTCTTCTTAGTGCTTTAAAAGAAAAAGCGTTTCTTTCAGATTTTTTTCTCCGGGAAGGGGGGTTGTGGACACTGGTAAAGTATAAATTTTCTATATAAATTCCATATCCTTCGGGCTAAGGGGGGAGGGGGAATGAAAGGCGGTACGGATAAATTATATATATATATATATATATATATATATATATATATATATATATATATATATATATATTGTTACGAACCCAAGTCATCTTTACCTGGGTTTGGTCCCATCGAGGAGGGCCAGGTAATTAAAATGAAATGCTTAGGCATGTTAATGCACTGGCCAGCATAGGCCGTGAGAGTCTGGGGGTTTTGATGGCCACACCGGATTGGGTACCACGCTGTGGGCGGTGCATACCTGGTGTCTTGGGGGACTCGGCTATTAACGTGGCCAACAGCCCATAAATTACCTGGTGACACCACGGGCTGACCGTTGATGCTTGATCTAGGCTAGCGACGGTCCGTGTTTTACGGCTGGGAAAACCTTCCAGGTCGGAGGGGGCCGAGGGGACCGTCATGGACGGATATGACCTAGGGTCAGGCCTTAATTAAAATCGTTCCCACGGTGTAGAACGGGGGACGAGTACTTTAGGAGGGTAGACCGGGGGACACTCTCGACACAGACACTCGGGACACACACACGGAGACGGACGGACGTCTCGGATAGCTAGGCTTAGAGGAGACAGACATGGGTCGTCTTTGTGAGCTGGTGGAAAGCCACGACATGTTTTAGACTTAGGCTAGGCTAGACGGTTAGGGACAAGTACTGACTGTAGGGTAGTCGTACTAAGTACTTTAGTTGTTGTAGATAGTTGTGTATTTTTCCTATTGTGTTCCATGTGGTGGCGGGTTAATGTTAGATGTTGTATTTTGTGGCGAATAAATAGAGATTACTGAAGTTGGCTTTTATTTAATTTTATTTTTCTTCTTCTTGTTTACGATCCCCTGACTAGTTCGAAAGGATTAGAGAAGGGGGTACGTAACAATTGGTGGCTAGAGTCCGGGATAGGACAGACAACGAGTTGAATAGTTTCTTTTGATGCCATTTTCAGTTGGGGGCTCACGAGCTTGTGTTTTAGTTTTAAGTTTTATGAGTAGTGAGAGTAAAGTTGTTCACGGAATCAGGAGAGTTTTCCAAACATTGAGTAAGTAGCGTGCTTATCACCTTTGTATTGACACTGAGTTTATTTTCTTGATTTTTATGTTGGTCCAGTAGAGCTGGAATTTTTTTTTGTTGATTCAGTATAGCTGGAGGGATTAATGCCCAGTATACTTGAATGTTTTTTGTTTGGTCCAGTGGAACTGGAGTGTTCGAGTTTATTCAGTACAGCTGGAGGGCCATTCCCAGGTACGTGAATAAATTCGTAATTTTTGTTTGGTTTTCTCAGTATAGCTGGAGGGTCAATTCCCAGTATACGTGAGTAAATCGTTTGTGATCCGGTGTAGCTGGATATCTTAGTTTGGTTGGCCCAGTATAGCTGGTGTCTACCTGTTTCAAGTGTCAAAGGTGATAGCCCTACTTTTAATGTTTAAGTTAAAGTTGTTTGTTGTGAGCCACATTTTTAATAGTTAACCGCCACCATTTAGCTGAATAAGTTCCGTAAGTGTGAATCATGGACGTAATGAGTTTTATTGAGTGTCCAACTCTAGAAGTTTTAGACAGGTTTTGTCGCGTAGAGTTGTTGCGTCTAGTTGAGGAGCTAGGACTAGAGGTTGATGTCTCGGATAGAGATAGAGTTCTACGAGATCATATTTGTGTTGAGTTGGTAAATACAGGTAGATTAGAGGAGGAGTGTCTAGACTCTATAGAATATTATGAGATAGGACGTATTAGAGTAGAAGAAATTGAGAGAAAGTTTCAAGCTAAGTTGTTAGAGATCGCGAGAGAAAAAGAGGATAAGTTGTTAGAGATCAGGAGGGATATATTCATGTCAGAATCTTGGAAGGAAATTGACATTAAAAGTTTAGAGAAACTGTTCGGACATGAAGTTAAACTATTAGAGATTAGGAGGGAACGGGATTTACTTATGCTATGGGAGGAGGCGCAGCTTAGTGGGTTGTTTGACTTTCCAGAATCTGTCTCTGTTTTCTCTCAGGCTAGTGTAGTAGTTTCCGAGGATCGGTATAGAGATGAAGATAGTTTGTTGTCTGATAGAGTTGGTAGTGAGTTTTGTCAGTCTCAGACTAAGGCTGCCACTAGCTTTGGCTCAGTCCCTGAAGTCGACTCTAACCTAGCAGAACCAGCACAAACGTCAAAACGTGCTGATAGCTTACGAGTTGAGAGTTGTGTGCCGACAAGTACTGAAGGCATTCAGCAAGTTATTGGTTTAGATAAAATCACGGCGACCGCTCTGATGTTGGCCAGTCATGAAAAGGGGCTGTCAATATCTGACCCAGTGGATACAACCACCGATGATATCCCGGCGACCACTCTGTTATTGGCCAGTCATGAAAAGGGGCTGTCAATATCTGACCCAGTGGATACAACCACCGATGATATCACAGCGACCACTCTAATGTTGACCAGTCATGAAAAGGGGCTGTCAATATCTGACCCAGTGGATACAACCACCGATGATATCCCGGCGACCACTCTGTTATTGGCCAGTCATGAAAAGGGGCTGTCAATATCTGACCCAGTGGATACAACCACCGATGATATAACGGCAACCACTCTGATGTTGACCAGTCATGAAAAGGGGCAGTCAATATCAGAACCAGTGGTTACAACCACCGCTGAAATCACGGTAACCACCGAGAGAGTGAATACCCATGAGAACAGGCTGTCCTCGTCTGAACCTGAACCAGTAACTGCATCTGATCAAGACCTTACCACTTGTGGTCTTGAAGGCGTCATGACCTTAACTGGAGGTCATGTGAATGGTGACCCACACCTTTGGGTAGACGAGTCAACAAATCTTCTGCTAGCATCGGTAACAGACGAAATCGTTACCCATTGTCTTGGAGGTGAGCCTAACACGGGCTGTCCTCCCATTATCACAGCAGTGTTTGATTTCTCCCCGACCAAGTCCAGCAACCTGGAGGCCATGACCTCACCTGGAGGTCACGTGGATGGTGTTCTACGTCCCGAGTTCGAGGAGACAGTGAATCTTTTGTCAGCGGTGACGAGCAAAGTCGTTACCTTTTGTTTAGGAGTTGAGCCTACCTCAGGCTTCCATCCCCTTATCACGGAGGTGATTTATTGTTCTCTGACCGACCCGGTCAAGACCAACCACCTGGAGACGGTGACCTCAGCGGGTCACGCTACTTCTCTCAACCGAGGGTGCGTACAAGCGAGCGCACACCCCATTGCTTTCACGGAGACGGGGCGTGTACTCGTTCCCTCTTTGTGTGACACGGTGTTCAGGATTAACATCCTGTCAAAACATGGCATTAGTGCAAGCAGTCCTGTGAAACCACGCCTTATGTGCGAGTTGTTGTTGTTGTGGACGGACAATAACTCTGTCACTAAAATTGTGCTGCGCCGTTATAAAGTTCGGCTTAAGTTTTATGTTTACGGACTCATGATGACCCGAAAGACGGAAAACTAATTTGTGTTTCAAACCTACTAGAACTGTTCCCAAGATAGATTGTTTCATGTTTTCCCAGGATGCAAGTGTTCTAATCAAAATGAACTGTTTTCAGGCTTAAAGAATGTACCTTTTACATGTCTTGTTTAAAAAAAAAATGTGTTATTGATGTTTTACAGGATGATGAATTCGTGACAGTTTTTAATTGTATTGACAGGTTTTGTTGACTGATGACGTAACTATCAGTAAAATGAAGACTGTTGGTTTCAACATTGAGATTATTTG